CAAGTACTTACCTATAGTTGTGGTCAGCAGGAGAGATAGATTCATCATAACTAATTTATGTGTTTACTCTGCGCCCATCGATCTAGCCATAATTAGTTTAGCTGATGGTAACGTTAACTGATAGTAACGTTAACTGATAGTTAACAATTTGATTAATTATTTTAGCCTGTCGAGGAGTTTATTTTGTAAAAATAAAAAAAAAATCTCGGTTCATTTCTCGTTCCGACTGATGAGTGTGAAAGTGTGAATTTTAGTCCATCGTTCATCCAAAGATGGGAAGGGGAATTAGACTCTACGGGGTAGAGACATGCAGGAAAAGGAAATAGCCTCTTTCACTTCATCCCCTCCTCCGTCAACTTAACATAACGCATCGACTTGTTGGAGATGTCTAAGTGCAGCGGTCGTTTCACTATTTTAGGGAAAACACATGGCCGCTTGCAAGCTTGCCACCTTATATAATATTATAAAAAGTTAAACTGATAAACCTGTCGGACCTATATATGTATCATTGTGATACGCCGTGGAATTGAATTAAAACACATCAAAACCCTTAAGCCATTATTACTCACGACAAATACTACTTATAAGGCAAAAAAGTCACCAAAATACCTATAGGTTTATTTTATAAAGCTATAGAATGAAGGATTTTTAAGTGTTGCGAAAGCATTGTGTAACAATCCACCCACTTCTGTTCAGGATTCAGGAGTGACGTCAACGACCATCGAGCGAGGTGCCACGCTATCGCACACCTCAAGTATATTGTAAGTATTACTTCATCCTTAAGAATGCTTAATTTTTTACCTTAAGTAATTGGAAATATAAAAATAACAGCCAAATATCACTACGCACACATTTGTCCTGTTATTTTCACCTAATCTTTAAAAATAATAATGTATTCGTTTGATATGCAATTTTCCTAAGTAAATTACTAATGGACGATCTCCTGATCGCTGGTAAGATTGTTAAAAAGATGTACATATGTATGTGATTTTCGATTGCATACAAAACAAAATAAGAAAGACAAATTATACCAATTGTTTGTTTGATATACGTTATAACGAAGGATATTTTGCAATTTCTTATAAATTATTTTTAGTTATAAGTTTCCATAGAAAGGACATAAGATTCGTCACCCCGCATGGCGACGATAAAAGCATTTGAACATCGCCGTTCGTATCTCTGTTGGCACCATTCCATACTACGAATTTCTTGTGGATCGTATAAATAGCAGACTATATATGTACTGCCTTATTCTTAGATAAAACTAATTAAATATAACATTAAATATTGTAAAAACTTTATTTTAACTCGCCTTCATATCGTAGCGTGAAAAAAAAAAAAAAAAAAAGTCCTTGAACCATTTTTAAAACGAATGTTCTTATAGAGTAGGACACATAAACAAGTATTCTCGTGCAAATATAATAACTAGCAAAAAGCGGTACTAGAAAGCCTTGCGAAGCTACGTTGAAGCACTCTTAAAATACAATTTATAAGAAATAACTTTAGTATTAATGTATAGATTGATAATAGTTCCTTAGTGTACCACAAAACTTTATAAGTTTTGGAATAGTATAGTACTATCTTCGTTCGCCCTGAAAAATGTTATTCCATTTATTTTATACCTAAGAATATCACTTTGCCACGTAAAAACCCATCTCTGCGCTAACTAGAAATTTTACGAAGAAGTGCAAATAAAAGGGGCGACGTAGCCTGAAATGCGATAGCGCCGAGGAAATGAAACTGCCGATGTAGATAACTTCTTATTACTATTTATAATGTTACCTTTGAAACTATTTAACTAAGAACAATATTGAATGTTTACAAAAGCTACCAAAGTTAAGTACTTTCAGTACACTCGGATAATTTTTGTTTACTTGTTTGTGTACTTGCTCTTGGATTTTTCCAAGAATCAAGTGATAATATTTCAGCTAGTCCAGACTTATAGCTTATTAGGCAAGATTGAACTTTGGTTTCCGAGATCAGAATATCTGTATGAAATATCGTCATCCTTGTCATTATCTCTAACCAGAGATAACAATATGTTTTAAACTGAGATTTTGGTCTTGGAAACCCATGGTTAGTCATTTAACTTCAACACATCCTCTTCTACCTTCGTAGATAATGATCCTTTCCTAAAGTCCTTTAAGAAGAGAGCGTACCTCTTCTTCTTGAAGTCAGGTAAACGCAACTTAGGTGACTCTCCTGTTGCAGATGTCCAGGGGCCGTGACTTCTTTTTATTAAGGTTCCCATCAATCCTTTGCACCCTTATCGTATTTTTAAAAGTAGAAAGAAGTTGAATTATTTTAAGAATTAAATAACTTAAGAATAAAATGCCATCAAACTCTACATTTCTAATTGCAGTTATAGAATAAAAGCTGCGCAAGTAATATATAAATAGTTCTTTCGTGTGTTTAGTGTACTTTAGCTAATTAACGGTATTCTCTAAAGAGATTCCATGTTTTTTCCTTCAAAGGATTATAGTTTTATAGCGACTCGGCGGGTTTGCGAGTCAAAGCGGTGTTCTCTTATTATGCGGCAGGATAACACTGGATAAATACCGGGTCCGCGGCGGTGCGGGGGCTACGAGCTGCGAGCTGCAATGCAAATGAGCGTTTCCATGTCCCTCCCCTTCCCCCGGACCGTGTACTCCGCAACGCAGCGCGGCACTAGCGCCTCGTCCGGAATTAAAGCAAGCGTCTGAAAAGGTTTAAGATGAATGAGAGTCATGCGCTCTCACAATGCAATGCAACTAACAACAGTTTAGAAACAACTTATTTTCTGTACAGAGAACGCGGTGTTTCGCGCTTGTATTTTACATGCGACGACAATTTAATGCGATATTTTAATTTACAATTAATTCTAATATAGGGGTTGCAATTGTTGTTGTGCAAAATTATTAAATTAAATAAGCGTAATTAAAACAGAATATTTTTTGAAATTAAACGTGGAAGGTCGCTTGGGATTCAATAAGTAATATTGACAATTTACTTTAAATAATCTCTTTATTGTACCTGATATAAATACCTGCATTTAGAGTTATAAATATAGTATGTAAATGGTACGTCTGAGCCGTGTCTGTACAGGAAATAAGCCGCAGATGAGTTGCGCTCGGCTCGGCGGCGGATCCCGTCAAATATTCCTGTTAACTGAATCAAGGTTGGGACCTGTGCTAATTAGGAAACATTCCGAAATTATTATTTACATTCGATATCACACTGTCTGTAATTACGTGTTAATAAAATATATTTAAATGAACTGTAAAGATCTTGTCAAACGAATAAATTATTTTTGTCAAATATTACGTGTTTGTCAAATTATTTGATAGATTTATATAGCGCGTTTGTTTAACATTGAAATTTTTGAGCAATATCTGGATGAAATTAATTTACTTTACGTACAGTTTACGTCAAATAAGTTGGTACATTAACTCTCTCATTTTCTTTATTAACTCTCTTCTTTGGTTACCGAATATCATTTGTTATGTACATTTCTTTCTTCTTTTGTAATACCTTCATATAAAGATTCGTTCTGGAATAAAAGACGTCACGAATATTTCTTGATAAATGTAACCCGCTTCCGTCAAGTGACACTTGAATAATGGAGTTATTGTAATAGCTTTAGGAAAACAAAATAATACTGTGAATGAGTTCTCATCTTAATATATCTGAGTTTAATTATAATTTCTAGTGTTAAAATATGTAATTTTATGTATTTGCCGAAATTTCAAATTAAATTCGTATTAATTTGTCAATTTAACTATTAAAATTAGTTGAAACACCAAAGCAATTTTATTGTGAATTTCTTGATGTACAAGTAGCCTTCGAGATTCCAGTTTCAGAAATTTGAGAAAAATTGCCATGTGCCTTGTAACTTATTTAGTATTTGACCTTTCTTACAAATTCAAATTCGATTCAATTAGATTTCTCAAGGAACGGAAGCGTTATAACTTTTAGTATTATGACTACTTTTCTTTGGAATTTGATACTGAAGAAAACTTTATGTTTATATCGGAACTTAAATGTCTACCAAAAAAAATCATCAATGACTTTACCTGAGACTTGAAGATCGGATTGAAAGGAACATTCTTAGAATCACCGGTACAGTTCACACAAAAAATATTTCTGGCGTTGAGAAAAAAAACTTTACGACTAGTCAGAGATAATTTAAAATAAGAAATGTCCAAAACATTAATTAGAATTAAAAGAATAGACCGTAAATATTGTGCCGTTCGTACTTCGAAGAAATGAAAGAAAATTAAAGCATGTAAGATACTTTTCTATATTGTAAAATTTAACAATTTATTGTTTTTACATTTTTAAACAGAAACGTCCATAAACTAAATACATTTTTTACTATTTATAAACATTGTATTGTTATACATTGCAGTAACACTAAAATGTTTCGTGTAAATATCCCGAACCTTAGATGTTAACAATGAAATTGATAGAAATATTTAAAAAAATAATTAATTAGGGAAACATTGTGCTAAATTCTATTGTTCTATATGAGTATATGTGTAAGTTATTTGAAATTTGGTGACAATATACGGAAGGTATTTGAGCAATATTTTTTATATAAATATAGTAAGTAAATGGCATTCATTTTGATAGTGTGTAATTTTCATATTAGCATTTAAAATTAACTTACTTCTGTATACCCCGCCGATGTGACGTCACTTAAAAAGTTGACAGACTAATGATCAGCTTTGTTTACCAACTTTACTAGATGTAGGTGATATAGTTTCCAATTTCATTTGTTGCACCTGGATGACCACCCAAGTGAGGAAAATGACATACTCCTACATCATGCTTGGGATTTGTTCACTTATCTAAATGTTTAGATAGGAGAAATATTGAATTAAAGTGATAAGGTAATGTTTTGTTGTTTGATGCGATGTATGGAGAGGCGCGCGCACGGGGCACGGGGCATGGGGATCGGGGCTCGGGGCAGGCTCGCCGGCCGGTGCGGAGTGCGGGGCCGCTCAGTCGCCACACGCTCGGCGGCGTCCTCGCGACTCGCGCCGCAGTCTGCGCCCGACCCGCGACCACGAGGGTCGTTAGTGTTGTTTTGATGAATGTTCCGTTATTGTTATTCAGGGATCGCTTCGTTTTCGCAATATACCGCACGCTCCGGTACTCATAAACTATAAACAATTCCCATTTTCATTCAACGTACTCTGCGGGATCGACTCGCAACTTCTTCAGTGATTGTTTGGCCGAACTGTCAGTGCGCGTGTTGTGCTTTATCGATAACATAACCTGTACGGCTTCAAGGGCACAGGGGAGCGACACATCGTTGTGCTTTGGATGCGGTGTTGTAACGGCTCGACTGAGTCCAGCGGTTGATCTTGTAAAATTTTAAGTGGGCGTATTCAAAAGTTTGAGAATCGATCGGGTGACGTGCGTGCGTGGGATTGAATTTACGTAATCTTTGTTTACCTTGGGAATATGCATTGTGCTAACTGTCCGCTGTGACACCACTTGCAACATTTTGTCCGTCAACTCTCCTGTTTAGATCCTTGGCGTTCTCTTTTACGGGTAAGTGATAATTTCTTCTTTTTAATGTTTTAATGATATCTGTATTTTTAATCATATGTTAAGTGTTGATTCTTTTGTAAATCTATTTATGTGAACGCTTTTCACACTTTTAAAATGTTATTTGCAGAGATATAAAATGTGGGTATTCTAAATCTCTGGTGGTTTGTATTTTCATACTATTTAATTAACTGTGTATGTTTTATATTTTATGAAATAAATATCTTAACAGAATCTTTATGACCCATCTTTATGACAGAAACAAAAGGAAGAGAAGAGGAATCAAGCATTTTATAAAAATTTAAATATTTATCGAAGCACACAATAAGAAAACGGCGGTAGACGAACATTTTATTTCATGCAAACGGTTTCATTCTGACGCGGGGACGACTTCTAGTTTTCAAATTATAATTTAGGTAATTTACTTTCTTCTGCTAATTGGACTAACGACCTTAGTTCAGTTCTACTCAAGACAATATTAAAGATGAAACGGCTTGACAACAAAACTCGTGGGAGTCTGGAGGCTGACAGGTTTTTTTGTTGAAAACATTATTTCTGTTGTTTCGTTACTAATGATAGGATAATCGATTTATTGATTTTTTACAACTTTGAAAACTGTCAATAACTTAAGCAGTTTAGATTAAGAACTGAATAATTCAGATTTTAGTTACGTTCGATTTTAGTTAATTTTTCTCAATACGAAACATTTGCTTTTCAATAAGCTATTTTGATTATTTACATGATTTTAATTGGATTTCTGCTAATTTTTACATTACTTTTCCAAAAGGAAAGTGAAAGCGATGATTCGTAACACAATTTATTAAAAAATAACCAAAAATACGACAAAGAACAATAAAGCTGAAAGCCTTGATCACGACTATTTAATTTTTTTTAATTCGCAAAACATAATTTAAAACAGAAAGTGATACCGTATTCTTTACATTATGTTTTTGTTGACGAAAACCAGTTGAAAGCAAAAACATTGTTCATGACAAACTAGTTCATAAATAAATCCCTTTCATTGTGCGTAGTTTCCGCCGTGCGTGAAGGCGGAGGATTTAAATTTTGCAAAAGACTTAATGACTTCACAACGCAGTTCATAAACATTTCCTTTTTTTTGAGTTTTTTGCTTGCATTGTTATGCTGTTATGACAAGCTCGTTGTTCAAAATGCAGTCTCTGAATATTTCAAGGCGAATTGCAATGCTTTATTCCGTCAAGTATTGGTCAAAAGAACCATGAAAAAGAACGTACTAACATATCTACCGTAGAGTTTTTTGAAAATCTTCAATTAGTTTAGTTTTTAAATATACTCGAGACCATAGATTTTCTGTTACTAATAACCAATTTACATTTTTGTCTGTCTGTTTGTGAGTCCGTATTTGTTCCAGATAATCTCTTATACAGTATATCAAAGGCTTGCTTGTCTTGTAAATTTAAAGTAATTAAAAAAGAATCATAGTATTAAAATTCTACATTTTTAATATGGAGTACAAAGTTTGAAAGTCACGAATATGGTTGATTATAATCGACCAGTTTAATGGGAACATTGTACAATGGAGACTGGTTTTGTGAAGTACGTGTGAGAAAAAACGTAACTCGTCTCAATCAATCTTCAGTTTCTTTTATGTCATTGAATCGTCGAAATAAATAGGGGTGAATTTTTGTTAGGGTCTTTGGCCAAATGAGTCAGGGGATGGACGTTCTTTCAGGCGTCCGTCCATATTTCATGAGCACCGGTCGCGCACAATGGCGTCGCTTGAGGTCGTCGGACGGGCACCGACTAGCTTTTACCTCTATATTTATATTTCCATACTAATAAACCTACCGTATTGAAGTCATTAAAGTATAGATTACAACTATGTGACAAATTAAGTATGCAAAGTTAAAGTTCAATTTATATCGTAAAAATTTCAAAGGTTAAACAAAATTATCAACTTTTTTAGAGAAGGAATTTAATACAACACTGTCTCGAGACACTTTCCAACCGTGTCAAGAACCGAAATAGCTCTCGAGAATATCATTAGCCTCTTGGGAAATTAGAATAAATTTGGTAGATATACAAGGAGTATACTAAAGTGTGTTTTATAAGGTAAAATTAAATTGCGATTAAATTGACGATATTTCGCTAACTTCTGTTAAGTAGGTGCTGTGGAAATTAACGTTTTTTTTTCTGTAAATCAGTGGTAGTAATTGCGCAACAGACGTTAAAAGCGTCTGTTTGTAAACAGGAGCAGACGAGGCGTGCGGCGTGCGGCAAGCGGTGTGCGTTGCCGCCTCGTAAGCACATCGGCCTCTGAGTCAGAATGATGCCATCAATTCTGACGCCGCAAATACACGGATTGTAAGCTGTATAAATGTGAGCACATTCTGCGCAGTGAATTTTTGTTTTAAAAAGTACATTGAAACGTTACTGATATAACCATATCGCGTCGATAGTAGGTACCTATAATTGAAACAAAACTATAAAAAATGAATGTTACCACGATAGCTAGCTTATAAACAATTTTTCAATTAGTATGATACATTTAGCACAATATTACTATTAGCATTATTAGAACAACATCTCAGGAATGATATCCGTAACCGAAGAATCGAATGAGTGAGCTCCAAGTAAGCCGAAATTCGCAAGTCGCGTAATATTGATCTACAGTCAAGTTATGTCAACTTTAAAATGTTTTATTACAACCATATGTTACAAGCGTGATGTTACTTAGGGTTGCATGACATTACAGTGATCCAATGATCGATGTAATCAAATACATTGTTACAATGAAAAATGCACTCGGAATAAATTTGCTGTCAGTCAGTTGATTTTTATTTATGATGCATACCTTCACGTTCGCACTGGTTTATGTACATTGCATACAAATACTGAATTGTTTACGTAATTTGTCCTCTGCGGTAAGATTAGATCATCGTTTATAATGTTATATTATTTTTGACATTTGCCTCCTTTTATTTCTCGATATTTGATTTGAATCATTGTATTCTTTTCTGCTTTATAGTCTTTGCCAAAAAATATATAATATTAGTCTCGTTTAAAAATTTGAGATTTTCTTAAAGTTAGTTTGTTAATCTTAAAGATTCCCTGTTTGTCGACAGTAGGTTCGAATTAGATTTTCAAAAAGTATTTTTTTTGCGAATCAATTATTTTATAGGCAATAATGGTGTGCTTTTTCCATAATATATTTGCATATATCAGTTATCTCCGTCTACTCTCGTAGTCTACTAAGTGAGGGTATATTATGTAATTAAATTAAAACGAACTAAACGTCAGCATTTAATATTTAATTTGAAATTTAATTAAAATTTAATAATTTATGTGTATTTTGATGCTGTTGTGGCTTTTGCAGATTTTGTGCTCGGTCATTAGCAGGATAATTGAACAAAATTTTAATGGCCCTATTAAAATTTCGCACTGATTTAAATTAAAAACCAATGCTATCCAAACTGTGGCTCTATACAAAGAATTAAATTCGTTTCCCACAGATAGAATATAGTATAGTCAATCGTCAATAAGAACAATAACCTAGTACGTATGTATATTGCTATAACAAGTTTGCCCTAATTATATCATGACCATTAAATGACATTTTATCGAAATGGGTAGGATATATACGTCCTCGACTATATTAATGTATTTTACTACGACTTCTGACCGGATTACGAACATTCGTCGACCATTTTATGGCATCCTAAATATCTGTATCGTGGAATCGATTGGACTCCGTCTGCAACATAGTTTGGAACGTCTATTTATGTTACATCGATTTTATGTTATCTTTAGCGAAAGATTGTTTTGCATTGTTGACGATACCTACGTTACGTTATACTCATATAACAGCGAATAACAATAAGTTTGAAAATATTGTATAAACATGTAACTTATTTAAAATTAATGCAATCATTTTTATTACGAAATACCGTTAGGGAACCTACCCATACTACGTGAGCCTTTTGGGGAGGGGGGGGGGGGTTAGCGGAGTCTTTAAAATACTACGGTCAGTCACAGGAAAGGGGGGGTGGTGTGGCTCAGGTTTTTGTGACGTAGTCGTTAGTTGTTCTTTTTCATAATACATTATTCACTAGTAATTTAAGTATGCATGCAATCTTTAAAAAACTAAAGTAATAGGTCACGTAATATGGGTATGTTCCCTTATAGACAGAAAGGTGCAATAAATATTGCTTATACAAAAACAGTATAAAAGTGACAAAACATTTGACGTCGTCTGGTTTCTTAAGGTCATTCGCTTTTGTCTGTAAGGAAGTAAAAGCCTTTTGTATTTGTGTATATATCATTGAATTATACACCCACGAGAAGTCTATTCACTAATTCGTTGCCATTGGTACCCACGTTAGTATCGTAGTTTCGAATATACATTTCTTTTTTTAATTCGGACGAAGAGAAAGTACGGATTTGGAGAGTAAAAGTGAAAGATTATGAAGATCGATATATCACGCGCAAAATTTTAGACGATTATGACAAACGAATATTTAATAAACTAGAATTTGTTACAATATTAATAGCATTTTTAATCGATAATTTAAAATAATTTTGAATGTGAAGAAAGCTATCTATAACCAGAATTCTATCTTACTTACTTATATTATAAATGCGAATGTTTGTATGTATGGATGGATCGATAAATGTTTATATGAAGGTTTCTAATTCCATAAATGATTTTCGTGTGTTAATTCACTCATCATATTAAATGTTTGTTGTATCAGATTTTTTTTTCTCGCACACATTTAACTACATTAAAAAGATTGTACATCTTAATATTAAAAGTGCGCTACAAAGGAAGACCTCCGACGTCTAAATCTCATTATTTATGGTTCAAGGGGTCCCGCTTTCTTTTTACCCTTAACAAACGTTCTTCTCTTTACCTTTCGACGCATTCTTCTCCCGTCAAATACTTTCTTGTCCACTTTAAATTTATTATTAAACCGTCCACCTCAACGCTCGTTCGTAATAATAATAATAGGTCAAAGTTTAATTAG